ATGCCGAAAATCATGGAACCTATAGGATGCTTTGCAGATCAAAATACAACTGTGTTTCAAGAGCACTGAAACAAATTCATATAAGAAAGGTACACCAAACATTCGGTTCCAACACAATATCTGACTCAGAAAGTTTTTGAACTGCAGATAGCCAGAAACTGAATGAATTTACTGGGAGAAATAACACAATGTAAGTAATTCTTAAACTCTTTCTCTGTGTATCCAGTACTGGAAAATCTCACAGCTCCCGCAGTGTAGTAGATGGACCTGTGGAGTCATGTAGTATAGCAACTTTAGCTCTTACACAGGTTTTCCTTTAAGAAGTGCAGGGCACTCTCACTTTCATTCATTTAGAATTTAAACTAAATTAAATGCTAAATATATAGGACATTCATTTTAAAATATTAAATTATTAAACTGTGTTATCAATTGCGCTACACTTACTGTTGGGCATAGGCATCAATGAAAGACTATTTCAAAACATTTCAGTATGGGATGATAAATTTTAGTGCTAGATATTAATGAACGTTAGCGACTTACAAATGTTAGCAGTTAAAACTGACTGAAAAAAAATGGAATCTTATCCCAAACAGAATTCCTTATCCTACTAAGAGGGAATACCAAGACATTTCAAAATGTCCTCTGAGAAAAAATGTTGCTATTGATTCACTGTGAAAAACACTCATGCAACAAAGTGTTGTATGACAAGAAAGTATATAAGTCAGACCACTTATGCAATGACATCTGCTAATTTCAATTATTCTATTTTGTCGATTCTTTATTTATTTCTCTAAATTGTTTACTATGTTTTCTGTACATTAGAAGTCCCTGTGCCTCCATCTGTGAGTTGTATTACACAATATCTTAAAATATTTGCTGTCTGGGTTTGGGGTTTTTGAGGGATAGTCTATAGATTTTACAGTTCTTCCCCTACATTTTCTTCATTTGCACTATATTTTACACTTCCTCTCAGCTGTTGATATTTCTTACCACTACCGCCCCATGGCAGAGCAGTTGGAACTAGAAGATCTGTAAGGTCACTTCCAACCTAAACTATTCTATGATTGCACCAAGTTGTTAGTTTTCCACACATTCATAATGGCCTACTCTGCCATTCAATATACAAAGCCTAACTAAGTCAACTCTCATGCAAGTGTACAAAAGATGATTGCATGGTACAGGTGCAACTGAGGCTTGAGAGCTGTGTCACTACTTCTTTTCTACCTGTGTGTTCCTTTACTTTTCATTTTAAACTCATTCAGAGTACATGTTTCATTCAGTTCTAAGATGCTAGTATTGGAAAAGATAGTGGCAAAACTGTTACACAACTTACTTTTCTTCCTTGAAGCATTAACACTGGTATCTTCCTGATTAATTTGTAGCCAATAAATCAGCAGTACACTTTTAAGCACACAGAGTTCCACTAATAACAGAGTGCACATATACCTCTTACAGGACAACAGCTACCTAGCAAAGTTCTGACAGCCTTTTATAGATGCATAGATTTTTAATTTAGAAAGGACCATCAGAACTGATGCCTTCTCTCTTTTAAAACAGACTGCAGAATCAATGCTGCTATCCCTATCCTGAGTTCAGTTACTTCGGTCGGACTGAAGTATGAAATCCTTTAAAACTACGACTGTAACAAACTTACAGCTATATAATATTTCTGTATTCACACATTCCATTGCTAAGCATTGTAATTTATTAGGAATAGGTCAATTATAGCTATTATTATGCATGCTGACTGTGTTTGAAAAAAAAAAAAGACCATTTTCATGACAAGAAAATAATATTTTCTTCCTTTTTATGTATTTACATGTAGGCAGACTTTTTGGGTTCCGGCTACCTGGATTGAGACTTTTAACATACAGAAAGCAGTCTTTACCACAGGAAGACCCTGATGCAGTGATAGTCGATTCATCTAAGCACAGTGACGACTCAGTGGCAATGAAGCACTTTAAATCACCTACAAAGGAAAGCTGTAGTCCTTCAGAAGTGGATGATACGAAAGCTCTAATTCAACCCAGTAAATGTTCACCTTTGGTTAATATATCAGGACCTCTTGACCATTCATCACCTAAACAGCAATGGGACAGACTTTACCCTGATATGGTACAGACAAGCAATCCACTAACCCATTCCAGATCAAAGGAAAGCATTTGTAGCATACGGCGAGCATCTTCAGTACATGACATAGAAGGCTTTAACATCCATCCCAAGAACGTTTTTAGGGACCGTCACGCAAGCGAAGGTACGGTAGAAAGTCAATCTAGTATTCTCTGATGTACTAAGAAAGTAATTATCATCACTTTGTAAGCAAAACTAAATATAATCAGCTGTAACATTCAAAGGCACACTAAAAATATTAAGGGCCCAAATATGCCAGGTTTATTCACACTAAATACTGCTTTTCATGTCTACACATACTAGTGAAATCAAGGGGCTGCTGTTAGAGCACCATCTGCCTTCTGTATGGCCCAACATTCCTAAAGCTAATACTGGTACTGGGGGAAGACGGGGGAGGGAGGAAATTGGGTGATCAAGTTAAAATTGTTTGCACAGTTCTGTCCCATAATCTCATATATTAGATTATCTATGACTGCTTGAAACATGACTTCAGAGATTGAACAGTTTGTTTTTCTTAAATCTCTAGTGGGTACATTGTTTATTTGTCCTGGGTCCAATATTCACCCGTCCAACACTTAGATATGATTTTCTCTCACACTGGACTAAATATTCTCAGCAATTCCATTGAAATACTTTGTGTAATGCTTAGTGAAATATTTAGTGAAATAGTGAAATACTTAGTGTAAAATTTGTAAGTGTGATTTTGTGTTAGTATGTTCTTACAGCCAGCAAAATTTACAAAGGTGTTTTCTCTAGCTTCTTTTTCTACTGTCTCTGCTAATTATACAAAGTCATGGAGTGTGATCCATGATTTCTTGTTGGAGATGGGCAGTTTCAGAAACCTGGAAAACAGCTTAGCAAACAGGGGTTTGAAAGCCCTGTGAATGAAGAGGCACCCTGAAACTAACTTTTGCAGGAAAGTGCCATATATACAATACTTTAGCAGCTGCTGGTGGTCTAATGACTTGAACTGAATAATTTTTATTCAAGCCAGATGACAAAAAATATATGGGGAATATTTTAAGATTTCAAACACATATGTCATGGAAGACTGTGCAGATACATAAATTAGCAAGAAAATGAATTTTCGTTTTCGGTGATTGCCTGCTTTTCTCCTATTCATTGACCGCAAGTATAAAATTCCTTTGAGTTCTCCTGCCTTCTGGAAGATCTGCACCAAGGGCTTTTGCTTCTGTACATCTCCTAAAGTAAAAGTCTGAATGCTTCTCTGCCACCCAGATTAACTCCTAGAATAGCAGAACTAATTATTCCTTCCAGTTACTCTTCCTGTATTGAATACGATCATTAAACACATCTTTTCTAATTTCTGTTTCTTTTGGACACTGATTTTTGTCAATTCAAATGAACCTGAAAATTAAATTAAATCTATCCCAAACCATACCATTTTGCTACAGTTCATGTTCACATTCAAGCCAAGATTTCAAAATCAGGATGCGGAGGCAAAAATCTCCAGAGTTGAAGCTTGGCATGTCTTTTGGACAACTGCATAAGCTTTATCTTGGGTTCAACAGCCCCAGATATTTAAAAAAAACCCTTTCAAATAAAACACATTTAAAGATATCTGTTTTGTCAATTTCTTTTTTCAGAACTTATTTTTATTACAGCACTTCTCAATTGTTCATATAGTTATGTGATGAAAAAGTGTAAAAATTTGTTTCTTTGGTTATGATGATACAAAGCGCATGCAAAAATCACTACATAATTTAATACCAGCTGCATCGAGAAGCAAACATTTCTAGTTTTATTTCACTGAATAATATTTTTTCAAATGCTAAATACTAAGGAAAATAAATTTTACTATGAGGAGTAAATAATTCATTAAAATTCCTATATGATGTGATAGTTTACAGTGTAAATGGATAAAACACTGCCACTCTGATTTCACTCTGCATAAGCTACAATATAGTAGAGAATTTGGCCCTAAATTTCTGCCATACATACACATTCTAAAAGAATATGAGAATATGACAGAGTATGGCTCTCAGAATTGCATTAGAATTAGTAGCGATCCTTGATGCCATCTGCTTCCGAGCATATTAGAATTTGGCACCTTATGCTGAAAAGATGTTTAAATTTAGCTAGCAAGTCCTGCTTGCCTTACTCAACAGTGAGCCATAAACTCCTATTGGTGCTAAAAATTATCCATGCAAGTTAGGCAACCAAGATTCAGCCTAAGTCGTCTTCTCTGGACTCAAAGATTCTGAGCAGAAGTTGTAGATACTGCACTGAAGAATGTAAAGACCTAAGTAAAAGTAAACTACAGTCCCAGTGGGCTAAATTACTACACAAGGAAGCATAAAGTTTAATACATTTTCCATTCCATTTTTATTTTGTTTACTGATCTTAATAATTCCAATTTTTCCTGAGTCCACTGAAAACTACTACTCTGTCTGAAAACACAATTCAGGACTCAGATTTAATTTTTTTCCACCTCTTCCAGTTCAAGTAATATTAGTTGAACCAGCATAACAGAAATCTGACAGAAGAGAACAGCATTATTTAGCTCAATATAAACTACAATAATTCACCCACGGTCAAATTTTTTCTTGCAAGATAATGCAATTGAGAATATAAATTATTTCATGCGTTAAATTAATTTGTGTAGCCTAGTTGCCTGTCACTGTAAAATTATCATAGCTGTGGCAATTATATGCTGAAAGGTATTTCAGTAAAAAAGTCAATTTTTTTAAATTCATTTGAGTGTACTCAATCGAATTTCATACTAAATTTGCCTGTTGGACAGCAAAAGAAGCAGGGCAGGAACTGTGTCTCCCACCTACCACCCAAACTCCACACAAGCCTTTCTCACCTGAAATGCCAGCAATCCAGATTTTGCAGGCATGTACAGGTTTACAGGGACTCTTCATAAGTCTTATTCTCTTCAGAAAGTGACCTCAGTAACACCCCTGCAGAGAAAAAAAAGCAAGCTTTTGAGCCTAACTCAGCCTACAAAATCTGCCTTACTGCTACAGGTGCCTGGCACAGAAAGGCATGAGGCTGAGAGGAAATAAACACTCTCCCACACCTGCGGTCCAGAGGGCCCAGCAATGTGTCCCATTCTTCCCTGTCCTTGGGAAGCTGAGGAAAACCAGAGAGGCAGCAGGGGTGACATGACACCACAGACAAGGCCCAGCATCACCTCCAGTTCCCCTCACAGGAAAAGGCCATAGCCTTTCTCCAGAGCGGCGCTGAGGCAGGGCCTCTGCAGGGACAGGGCTGCCGCTGGGGTGGACAGGGGCACAGCTGCCTCAGCCCTCAGCGGTGGCCCGCCAGCGGGGCACAACTGCAGGTGAATATCAGTTTGAGCCCACTGCACCTTTGAAAGCCAGCAACCCAGTCACAGCAGCTGGCCACACACCGGGGCAGGGCCATGTCCCGTGCCTGGCCCTGGCTCCTTCACCACCTCGCCCAGCATTATATCCACCACCCCAAGCTGCAGCATCCAGGTAGGGAGGCCCGTGGGTCATCTTGTACACCCATGAATAGCAGTGGTGCTTACCTATCCACCTGTGTAGCTTCTTTACAAGAATATTAAATAGTAAGTATAACAACAACAATAATATTCTCCCCAAAGAGGATTGATCTCATGAGAGGATTCAGGGGTGGGTGTGCCTGTGAGGACAGAGAGCTTTGCCACTGTTACCTTGCAGAAAGGCACCTGAGAGCTGAGGAAAGGTTTAAGATGTACCTTTCTCCTCAGTGTTTCTCAGAAAGGTGCTGCTCAGCTTGCTGCTATGTTAAAAACCTTTCATCCTGTGAGCTGTGGGCAGGCGTGGGGCCTGTGGGTCTGTGCAGTGCCATCTGTGCGGCCCCACACCCATGCAGCCATCCAGCTTGCGCTGCCACCCACAGCTGGGGTTCCTCAGCCAGTTCTACTACCTGCTGATCTACTACAAACAGTTCTACAGATTATTGCTCAGTTGTCAAATTGATTTCGTCTTAACTAAAAGTCTACATACATATTTTGAAGCAATATTTTCTGCTTTTTCTGATGTAGATTTTAGTTGTCTTTTTTCTCTCTTTTTCTTTACTTTTATTATGCTGAAAACCAGACAATGGTCGCAATGTCAAAGGTAAAGTATACATCTAGACTGTACCTTCCAGTGTTTCAAACAGCCACACTTTTTGGCATGTTACTTTGCCTGCTGTATGAAATGTTCAGATGCAACATTCTCATGCTGACCTCTCTAGGGCCGAGTGCATCATTTAAATTACATTTGTTAAACATGTAGTTATTCCCTTAACTATTGTCTAAAAGCACTAACTACCAATCCCTGGAAAAAGTGAAGGCATAGCTCTTAAATGGCCATTTGACTTAATTATCAATTAATTCAGAGGGGAAAAAAAAAGGAGGGAGATAGAACATATCATAGTTTTTTAGCTCAGTTATTTAACTCAATTTAACTCTATTGAAGCTACCAGGAGTTCTACCTGTTAAAGTTGGGCAGGGGCCACTAACAGTCTATTGTTACAAGGTGCTTAGTTTTCAGTTAACTATCTCAAAAATGAAGTAGTTGGTAATCAGGAGCCTTGTGGAAGTATCTTCACTTATTCCTCCTTTCTCTCCTTAAAACTAGTTTCACGTTCCTGGATGGCAGGGGGTATGGTTTCAAGCTTCATGTAGTATTAAAATGTGCACGCATGAACTTCATTGCCAATTTCATGTATAAATAATAATTAGTGCGGTTGTTTTTATTCACCAGCACTGAGCTGCATCTTTTAGAAGCAATCTGAACACATTCTTAAGTGACTTCGTCCATTTCTAGAAAACAGTTCAGAACAAAAGTATTCCATTTAATTGCAGTGTTTGTAGCTATGTCTGAGGACTGGTTTGTGACTTCATGCATGATGCAAAAAGTGTGTGTACCTAGTAAAGTCTTCTCTCTGAACTGCATGCAGTGCATGACCTAGATTCTGTAAAGCAATTTGTGGACTACAAAATCATTGCATTTGCTTCATGTGTGTGTTGGCAAAACGTTGCGGGAAAAAGAAAACGCAGTCTCCGTAATCTTAAACAGCTTTAACAAATGTATTTACTGTTGGTGAAAGATGATGGATTGACAGCTCAGGAGAGTGAAATCAATTCTTAATGCACTGTGTAAGCAGGGACAATAGAATCCTACTGTAAAAACAGGGAGCTCAAAATTAACCTTAAAGAATCTCCTTTGTAGGGCAGGCAGAAGCATATCATTCTCCCTGCTCATTCACTTCTTGGCCACTCTGCTGAAACTGTCAATCAGGGTGCTAATTAGTGTCAACTGTGATTGTAATTTGTTATGGCCCTCTTTTTCTGCTTCCTTGTATGAGAGAGACTATAGCAAAGGTCCACTAGCTGTCAAGTATCAGCTCAATAGCTTGCAGCCTGGGCTGTACTTAAGCTAGTAATGTCTTTCAATTAATTACCATTATCAATGAGGTACATACACACCTATCACCACATTCTAAATCAAAAGGAGGTGGAAAAAAACCCAAGGTTTTATTCCCATGTGCAGTTAACTTAAGTCTAATGTCACGGGCTAGGGCATGAGTCTCAGGTAGCAAAGGAGAGAGTAATTCCCTTTGGAATAGTAGCAATAAAAGATTTAAATCCCAGAAAAGAAAGCTTCAATACAATTTAAATATATATAAAGTTACTATCTAAAAAAAAAAAAAAATCTACTATGTAATTATGGATTTACCTAAGCTCCCTTAGTTTCCTCTTACCTTTGAGTTCCTTAGGTATCAAGAATTTTGTTCACCTAACAAATGTCCCCAAATTAATACCCAACTCATGTCTAAACCTACTCAATATTCAAAAACTATTAATTGCTATAACTATGTAGGGAAGTAGAGTTGAAAAACTGCAGTCTGACCATACATACATAACACACACCAGCCAGATTAGCCACTTCACTAATTTGCGAGGAGATTGTGGGCCCTGACTTATTTTGCAAACCACTTTTTAACAGACTCATGTAGATGATGTAAAAGATAGATTCAGGTTCTACCTGGGCCAAAAGGTGTTCAAGCACAATATTCCAATTCCTTGGCAGTGTTCTCAGTACTGGGTTTTTTAGCATTGCTTGTGGGAAAAAGATAGTGCTTTCTTCCTTTTTCCAGTGAAACTGTTCCACAAATAATATATCGGGTTCATTGGTCTAAGGAGAAAAAGAATCTCCAATTTTGTCATTTAGTGGTTAGAGCACTTATCCACAACTTTTTGTGTATCTCACGTCAAATGACCTTTGGACAAAATACAAAAAGTCTTAAGAGTAGAACCACCAGATTGCTTTCTCCTAGGAGAGTACCCAAATTGTTATCATGCCCTCCCTTTTCATCTTACATTCCTGTCTGCACAGTGGCTTAATTCAAAATGGAGTAGCAGCAGATTTCTGTCTCTGGCCTAGATTAACATATAGTTAGCAGGAATTTAGGAGGTAGAAAACATGTGTATAAATCCTTCTAAGATAAGAAAGCAAATTTAAAAAAATAATATAATAAAGTAGAATTCAGTACTGCCTGAAATATTTCTCTACAGCTATCTCCAGGCAGCTGGTTGCTTTGAATTTCACTTGTTCACACATTACAAATACAATGCAGCTGTTCTGCTGTTGACTGCAGTTTACCCCATAGGCCTAATCCTGTCCCATTGGCTGTTCCTTAATCATAGCACCCATTCTTGTTTCCCTGCAGGCAGACCAAAAATGCCCTCTCAAAACAGTTAAAGAAAAAGCACCGCATTGTTGCCTGTAATAGTATTAGGATGCAGTAAGGTTCTCATGTGGATCTGACAAGTACCATTGGATCCCAGACATAGACACATTGTAACTGACTCCAAGACCTGGATTTTTTTCTTAAATACATAACGGGATCTAGCCCTTGCTGCCTAAACATCTTTATAGTTCTTTTTTTCCCAGCATTATTCTCAAAGGAAAGTTTTCCTTACTATGAATATTTTTGGCTTCTGGACCAACATTATGACAAAAGTACAAAACAAATATTCTAATTGGTTATATTGCTTTCTTGTTGCACAAAGAACTCTGTCCAATATTGAAGAGAATAGTTATAATGGATATGTACCTCATGAAGTATACAAACTCCAAATTTTTTATCTATCATGATACACTAAAGTAGTATAAGATTTTTAAGTGTATATTAAATGCTCCAATAATATTCTACATATGGGTGTCCCTATTGTTTTCCATATTTTGTCGGTAATGACAATTGAAGAATTTGTGATAATTTTGTGAGTTTATGATACGCCAAAATTAAAGGCTTTTAGGACAATGTGAGGTTAATATTTTCATTGGTTAAGCATGGAGTTACTTGATGAGTCAATAGGGCTAGAGCAGAGGTCTGCTCAATATTCCAGTTTACCAAAAGGTGTTTTTTAACTATCATGTAAGCATGAGCAACAGCAGAGAGTGATAATAGAGCCTTTGCTCAGTCCAGACACACTTATATAATTGCATCTCTTGTTTCCACTTTTATAAACAAATGAGAATATAGTCTTAATGTTCAGCCAGCATTATAATGGAGCATACCAGCATACCCAGTAACATAAAAACAAGAAAGGCTAGATACATTATGTACTTTGCAATCCACTTACCTTTTAAAAAATATTGAGGGCTCTACGTAAAGGAAATTTTATATTTACATCCAATATTAGATTTGATTCTCATTAACAACAGAGTTGTTTTCAAAATATAGATAATTTGTAAAATTATTTATTTACAAGTATTCTTGTCCATTTGACATATCCCACTTAAACATTAATGATAACTTACTTCTCTGTATTTGTCAAATACTAAATATACGTTCTTATTTTTCAGGGCCTTTTAATCATATCAAGTCAAGTCTGTTGGGATCCACATCGGATTCAAATCTCAATAAATACAGTACAATCAACAAAATTCCTCAACTCACACTGAACTTTTCAGATATCAAAAGTGAAAAAAAATCTTCATCTCCTCCTTCTTCGGAGAAAGCAATTATTGCACCTAAGGTGAAAGACCGAACGCACAATGTAACAGAGAAGGTTACCCAGGTAAGGTAATACCCATTATTTTAGTCCCTTTTCCATTTCATGGAGCCAATTATCAGTGTATTCAATAGAATGATACTTTTTTCATGAATGATTTGCATATTTCCAAGACAATTTGAAGGGCTTAAGCCATTACTTATTTTAGAAAAGCTGCAGCGAGTACCCCAAATAAGTTCACTAATGTCAGTGATTCCTGACATTCATACATGTTAGTTTCACTGTTTTTTCTTTTTCTCAGCTTTACGAATTGCTGATTAGTGCAAAGCACAACATGATAACACATGGTAGGTGATTGTGCCACTGTTATAAGGCTCACAATTACGTCTTGTAATTTCTGTCCCAGTTCTTTGGCTTTTCATAATGCTCTTTCCTATGCATCTTTTCTATATGTGTATATCAAAAAGGCTGTTAAAATGGAAAGCAGATACCTGAGTGGACTGAATGTATGATATATTCTGTTATGCTTAGGAATGAGGCATACAATTGAAACAAAACTGAAAACAGTTCAAGATAGCATATTTCTTCACTATGAGACAGATAAAGTGCCCTCTGGAGGAAACAGAAGTGTTCAGCTCAAATCAGTATTATTACATTTGTGTTGTAATGTCATATGGAGATTGGCTAGGACAGGCTACTGATGTACAGCATACTGAAAAAAAAAAATTAAGACATGACAGTAACATAGAATCATAGAATAGTTAGGGTTGGAAAGGACCTTAAGATCATCTAGTTCCAATTAAAGCCTTAGTAAGCAGAGCGTCAGCCCTTGAATGCCCATCCACTGACAGGTGGAAAGAAGTTAGACGTGCTTTCTATTAGAAGGAAGATAGAGATTCTATAAGGAAGATCTTGTCAAGAGCAGCTTCTGACTTACTGCTGACCTGCCTTCAGATCAGACTGCAGCTTCTCTACACTGGTACTATGCCAGATGTTGTCCATGCTTTTGCTCCTTTTATGGATATAAAAAGAAATATATTGTACACCCTCCTAAAGAAATAAAGTTTCTATCAATCAGTTCTATTTTGAGATCAGTTACTGCCTAAAAAGTAACTGGGTTTTTATCTTTTATATATTTTGTCTTTGACACATAACTTGAATCTGAAACCGTTGTACTTTCTTCCCTGGTCAATTGTGAAAGATTTAATCACTTCTGGATCCATTTTGATATGTTTTAAATTATTTATTGTAGTCATACATAGAAATCTTTTCACAGATACTATGGCAAAGAGTCAAGCTTGATTAAAAAGACTGATTTTTATAAGTAAGCATAAATCAAGCTTGGTTTATTGGTTGTGGGGTTTTTTTATTTTTCAAAATTCTGACTGGATAATTAGTGCCAGAGTGCCAACTTTCTACGTACTAATGACATTGTTATGGGTAAAATTAAATGAATGAATGAATGAATGAATGAATGAATAACAAGTATACTTGTTCTCCAGACAACTTTGGTATTATAGAAAGGTCCAATAGAAATGTTTTGGATCAGATAAACATTCCAGAAACATTAATACTAACTAAATTCAAAATTATATTTGAAATGTCCTATAAAATCTTTACATTTCACAAAAGAATTCCAATTTAATTTGACGTTGGTTTATGTCCTTTTCTAGAACTATCTCAACCAATGTGCAGAGTACAATTTGTGTAGTAAACTTTGATAATGTCATTCATTATAATTATAAAGCATTTCTCACAGCTGTTACTTTTTCCTTTTATTATATTCAGTTATCAATGGTTCTAGTTGCTGCTGCAGCCTAAACTCTAGGATTAGGGAGAAACTCATAGAAGATATAAATAAATTTAGGTCTACTTAATTCAATAATCAAAGATCTAGTTGGCTAGTTATTCATGGAATAGATTAGAAATAGACATTTAGAAGATGAAAGTGGTTTATTTTAGTCCTGTTTATGCTTCTAATCTCCAGTGATTTCAATATATTTTAGAGTCATGCTCTGATAAACTTCGAAGGCTGCACTGAATGTCTGCCTGTAAATCTCTTTCTAAACTTTTCATAGGCCCATAGATCCATTTTGTATCTGAAAAATAATGTAAAAGTGGTTTTGGAATGTTCAAGCACAGTGTTAAAAACAGAGTATGGCATAAATGTCAGATGAGATAATTAGGGTACATTCATGCTGGCACAGTCCACATAAATCTTTGAAACAGCATCAAAAATGTACAGAAGGCAATATGAGTATAGAATGGCCATAGTAAGTTAAAAGGTCACCCTTAATCAGAGTAGTGACGTTCTGAAATAGTCTTCTAATAAACAAAATTAGGGCAGGAATTCCAAATGTTGTCAGAACCTGAGAAATATAGTAAATGAATAGATAACATGATGTGCTTTTGTGGGATTGCAGGACTTGGTGACATGGAAGGCCATTTCCAGCTGCATATTGCACCATTTAAATATCCACCCATCTCTCTCAGCTTTGCTGAGAAATTTGGTCCTGCTGGTATAACCTGATATTTCCACTATTGCGGCTCCTCTCACCGTGCGACTGAAAGTATAGACATGGACTCTGGTATGCACCACACTAAGGTATCAGTGATCCTCGCAGCTAGATCACTGCACTCTGAATTTTCTCTCATGCATCAATAATATCAAACTAAGTATCAGAACCACAGGGAACAAGAAGTTCTTTCCAGGGATGACAGCTATATGACTTCTATCATGTGCACTATCTGTAGAAGTAATTCAGGAAGTGAAGACAGTGAAAAAGGAGGGGATTGCACATAGCTACCTTCAGAAGGTAGAGGAAGAATAGTGAATAGAATAAATAAAAAAGACATGGCCATTGTGCTTACAGCAATTGATATGCATTCAGAAAGCAGTTAAAGAGAAGTGAGATGCTTTAGCAGTAAGATTGTAGTGAAATAAATTAGGAGCAAACTGGAGAATAAAGTTTAGAAAATAATTTTGGAAGGAACAGAAGATGTTATGGGCCAGTGGTTGACAGTTTGAGTGACAAATATGAACTTTGAAATGCAGGTGGAGAAAACAAGATTTCACTACACAATTTAATTAATAAATAGAATCCTCAGCATCTTACCTTTTAAGTAATACAAAAAATTAATCTCTTCAAAAAGAGCTAAGTTATAAATTCTAATGCAAAGGCCCTCCCAGTATTGTCTTACTACTTAACAGGAATGTTCAGGACATTGTGGAAAGAAGAAAATTGCCTTAATATATAGCCTGCAGTGAAGTTCTGCACATGGGATGGTCTTCAATAAGTAGATACCTCAATCACTTGGCCTTTCACCTGGGTCTTTGCTGATCAAAAGCCCTTGTGTAATGCAGAGTAGCATAACATCTTCTGGATGTCCATTTTTGTATAACATTACTGACTTTTACTCAGAAGAGTAGCCCAGTAGCGTCTGCCAGACAGCCCCTATTGAAAAATTCTGGCATTGTCATATCCCAATGTATGTAACTAAAGTAAAATTTAAATTTCCATTCTGCTTTAGTAAAAGTTGGGGGTTTTTTTCACATTATATTTTCACAAATATTTCACATTATAATTTCCAGAGATGCTAAGGTAGCCTCTCTTCCAGAAGAGTCTGAACTTACTTTTTTAAATTTTTTTTTTTTTTTTTTTACAGTCTGTTTTTGGGGGGGTGGAGCAGTACAATTTCTGCACTTTTTTGCACTGACAGGTTCAGTTGGGGTCCTGACACTGATTCTTAGAAAGAGACAAGTCTTCCCAGAAGCTCAAAAAGTAGACTTTTATTAAGCAAAGCAGTGGGACAAAAAATTGACATCTAAACCTTAATATTTTTGATGAATTCACAAAGAAGACTTCTCACCTTCCAATTACAGCATGTAGATGTGCGACAGTAAGCGGGTTTTTATATTCTATTTAAATACTGATTTATTTTAAATGTTCTGACACATGCAGTTTCCACTGATTTATGGCTCCAAAGCTGTGAACTCTTGTGAACAGACTCAGAGCATCATGGAGATTACATATGTTGTACATATATAAGCAGTAAGTATGCTTATATTCAAAGAAAAGAGACAATTCCTGAATACCTATGTATTAACACTGGCAACTATAGCTGGACTAGTTAATAAACTTATAAATTACTGGTCTCTTTATTGCGTAGTTTAAGAAAAACAGTTTTGTCGGCCTTGGTCATTAGGGTTCAGAGATTATTGATCCTTTTGAAATTCATCACTCTGTTGAGATATAGCATGTGGTTGAAAGACCCAATGTGTATCTGTTGTTTATGATTTGTCTCAATAACTGACTTACAGGAAAGTAAAACTCTATGATCTTTAGTCTTGTAAATAATACTTTTAAAAGTGGTTTCAACATCCACCACCTGTAGGAAATCTATACTGAAACTGGTTATATGGCTGCTCAAACAATAAACATGTACCTTAATGGACTACAATGATGATTGGGGATTGTAATCTTATTTGCAGGTGCACTGAACACCCGCAGCTCTTCTGTGCTCTCAGTGGAGGTTGCAGTCACATATGAAGTGACAGACCTTGTAGTTTCACTGCATGTTTTTGTAATCTGGCCAGACTCTATTCTGCTCCCCAAAAGATTAAGAAATAAGTAATGATATCCCCCTAGGCCATCTCAGCTGTTGATATAAAAAGAACTATTATGTGATCATGACTTCAAACTGACCTTCAGGTTTTCAGGCTAAAAGAAGACCAGCAACATCTAGGACAGAGAGGGGCAATATAAGACCTAAAAATAAATCAAATTATTGATCTATACTTTTTCAGCAGTCTGATTCAGCTGACACACTACGCTGTTTACAACATCATGCAGTAACTCACACAAACAACATTTCAAGGCTGTTCATTTTGGAACACAAGCTGACATGAAGCAGAAAATTCTGAATTAAGGGAAAACAATTTTGATATGTCTTCCAACTACACAGCAAGGCATATATATAATAATGAAATTGAGGGGTAAGCAGAGCCAACATTCCCTAGATACTGTATGGGAAGTTTATAGCACTGGTTTCTATTGAAGTGAGAA